GTGACGCGGTTTCGGATCTCAGACGGGACATCAGTCCCATCGAGGTTGCAGATACGTCTTACTGATGAGTGCCAAAAAACATGAAACCTACGTCCAGGGTTTCCTGTCGATTGCGTCCAACCAGCTAACATCTACTAATGTGCACCGCGATGCTGAGCTTCCTAGCTTGGTAGTTACATTGCAGATACGATCGATAGGATGCGGTTTGCACTCATGATTAGACAACATGGAATTGGTTGCACTCCCGTGACCAATCAGTACATTAGATTACTTTGCTGAATTGGTTCTATCGGATCCTTAAGCCACCCGACAAAGCTTATATCTGAATGAGTTTGTAGGTTTGAATACCACACTGATTTCAACCTTGTTGAAGAATCTACATGAAGTTCTTGATGTACTTCATCATATAGCAGTCATATGTCTAAATGATTTAGCTAGAAAACTTACCGTCTTTGTAAGCATTTAAACAAGGAATGGAAACATATAATGTAAACGTTAATAATTATCCTCCACTGTTTATGAAGAATTCGTAAGGAAACATGAGAAACAAAATGATAACAGTAATACGAATACAAATAATGGTGATGACACGAGTAGAAAAGAGTTCTCAGCCTCCGTTGTGTTACTGTATAAGGATGGTACATCAGAAACTTTACGTTGGATTCTGAACAAATATTCAGCAAAATAATCGAATCTACCAAATTTTATGTAATGACTGCGATGTTTATTTCATAGGTCAAACTAGGTAATTGGGGTCAGTTAGATTAGTGGGATATAGGAATTTAGCTTAATATAGAGTGACAGACCCCAATAACCCAGGGAGAAAAACTGGGCTATTGTAATGGATGCTTTAACACATTATATGATGAGATGAAACTATTGTACCTCTTAAGTTCAAAGTAATTAGGCTTAGAAAGATGGAGAATTGATTACTGAATCTCTGTTCATCGAATCAGCCAACATCTAACACATGTGAAATAGAAATGACGCAACACCTATACCACATAGATGGGGAATTTGACCACCAATAAAATCAAAGAATAAGAGGTGAAAGGACTACATGACAAAAAGGTATCGAAAGTAGTGTGATTACATTAATATGATAAAGAACAACAAGTAATTTATGCTCGAAACGTCATGGTGAATAATAATACTGTATCATTATGTGATAGCTACATCAAGTAAATCTATTACAAACCTCCACAATGCCTAAGTTCATTTTTATAATAATGAGACATCCTAAAATGCTTAAGAATACGTGTGCGCTGCGTCACTGTTGTTTTATATTGGGATAAGTTATGTGAAAGTGGGTAAATGTGAGGTTCCGAACACACGGTACTGTTATAATAAAGAATAGTGGCTAACGGACTACAAACCTCCAATAATGAGGTATCTGCTAGCTCATTCACACTAAAAGTGCCTTTTAGGAAGGGAATCACCATTATGAAGAGCAAGGTTGTGTCCAAACCAAACTGGTCGAAACCATCAAAATCGAGCAAATTCCACAGTGAACAAGATCAACAAATGTTTAAGGTAAAAATATGACATCAAGGAAATAACTGAAGGGAGTACAACACAATCATGAATTGAGAAGGGCACCAATATGATGAACAAGATACCACTATAACAGAAATGAAATCTGCTGATGAAGTAACATTGTCGGAGGACATTTCACACTACTAGTTAATAGGACGTAGTACAAAGTTATTTGTATAAAAAGTCGAAAGAGTAGTAGAACGTTATAACGAAAAAATAATTTCAGAAGATACACTCTAAACAATCTGACATGGATCCTTGAATACAATCGGGAATTTCCCTTCTATGAACGATTTTAGTGAAATTAACTTTAAGATAGTTCAAGGGAAATGAATCATGTCTACATCTAATTTCAACTGGATGTTCTCAGTATTTGAAAAATTGACAACTGGATTTTCAGGTGAAACGTTTGTGGGTTGATTGACATCAGGTTGGTGTTCATCATGGATCAATAAAAGTTAGAGAGTCATTGTAAACCTGAGGGTGCTGGATAGTTGTTTCATCTTATTACGGACTTCTTGGCAGTGCCTGCGCATGACCTCACCTAGAACTAAACTATGACCTTCAGTTTTCAAAGCGAGCACATTACCATTGTATTTTCGACAGCATTTACCTCTGTGACGTATAAAGATTACACTGTTAGATGAGTTTCTGTACTAAGTTATTTAGACACTGATTGAAATATTTCTTGTCATTTTATCTGAAATACCCTCGTTACTATCAATTAACAGCATTTTCACGAAGTAAGTTAGACACTTTGGACCTGCTTTACCTCAGAACTCTGTTTTTACCAGATGTTTAACTTTATTTCTGGATAAACACTGGTGCTGGTTGTGTGTTATATAGCGACAAAAGACAGCCAATAGGAGAGTTGTTTTCAAGTCATGATCAGATCATTTCAAGTCATGATTTATGCTTGCGTTGATATGAGAATCTGATTAGAGAAGTTGACTCATACAAGAGATCGGATTGGTTGTTTTATGGCTTCATTTTCTGAGAGTTTTGTTAATACATATATGTCATGTATTTGCGTAATAAAAGTTGTCGCTATTCTTGCAGTCACAGGCCGTCTTTGTCTTCATATTTTAGGCTGCTCAGTGAAGCAGAAGGTACTGAGGGAGGTCAGTCGTAAAGGTATTCGGTTGAGGTGTCCATTGAGTCTCAGTATTCACTATACCCACTCGCACAACCTCACCACTTGGTCACAACATTGTGATCACTAACTTGAAAGTATTTTGAGATCAGTCTAAGGGTTATCACAACTTTCGCATTATGATATAAGATCTCTAGCCATTGCATTAAGATTGATTTTTATTCATGATGGAAGATGAGTGCTTATTTCAACGCTTTCAAAGGATTGAGTAACTCACAGAGAAAAGCCTTCGGATGTGATTTTCACTAAGATTCTTCGCCTATCAAAGTGACATGAGGAGAAAATGAGACGTTCATATGAATTGCGGAAAAGAATTAGATTCTGCTTACTTGTTGCCAGAGAATGAAGTCAGAATACCGACCATATATTAATATTGTCATCCCAAGTGACACGTTTTATGCGTAATATATCACCTAGATTTCTGGATCTATTCCGAACGCATCTTCAAACTGAGGGGACCTATTTACGATTGCTATTTTTATGGTTTAGTCTATTAGGAAATTAGGCGTTAATATATACGATGTCACTGAGTTGCTTGGGATATTTTTATGAAAGTGGTAGTAAAGAACATTGTGACGGTGTTATATACCCCTAATTTTACTTGGTATTTTCTTATAACTTTAAAATAACTTTATTATTGCTACTTTCGTGTCCTCTTCGCGCTGTTGCTAACTTCTGTTCTTCCCACTTTTTTAAGAGTTGAATTCTCATTGCATGTTAACCTTTTTAACTTGTTAGTAAATTTAGTGTTTGTCAAGGTCATTTGTATTAAACATCGTTTCCAACTGTTTTGACTGTTGTTGAGACACTAAGTACTCTGTGTCAGCTATTCATCTCATGCCGATGGTATTTTTTGTTGTTTTTGTAGTTGACGCTCTGATTAGCGATTAGAGTAGGTTCTTTGGGCAATAAGTTCGTATCACTTGTAGACTACTAGGTCACATTACGGTCATAGGAGATAGAGATCCATCCTTTAACTCTAATGATCAAGGGCGTTTCTAGGTTTTTCTGGAGATAGGTAGTTTTTAAAAATATAATTAAGTTTTTGTCTTGTTCTTTTTGTTCTAGTCAACCTTATGTCACACTATTGAATTCTATCCTTAGCTCCGTGACTTATCACAACTGAAGGAAAGGAATATTACTACAAATCTTAAGAGATGTACCACGAAGATGTGTTCACATTTGCCTAACTCTTCCTCTAGACGAACTTTCAGGGATACTGCCGTATTCGTTCATTCTCATTAAGACTTAAATCGATGCTACATTGCTTTGAATGTCGGAGAGCTATTCAAAAGTCTACTGAGACACAGTGGCCATTCCTTATGTGATGGCTATAGTTCTGATGTTATAACAACAGGTACATCTAGTTGACGAGTCCCTAATGGGACGAAATTCGCATCATCAACTTCATTGCTAACTGCTATCCATTATTACTGTGGAGAGAAACATCATCCATTAACTAACCAGATGATTCTTACCTTCAAGAAACAACATTTTAAATGAAAGTCCATTTTATTTACATTGATTCCTGAATCTATCACTTCTAGATGGTCAGTTGACACGAGATTACATCATAAAATGTCATACTTAAAGGTCAGTCATTATATATCTATCTTTTACTGATGCTAACAGGTAACTGTCATTTCTTAAAAGGCATCAAAATTTATGTGGTAAGTACATATTTACTAATACGATTATTATCTTTTGTTTTTTTCTATAAAAATGATATTTTTGAAGTTTTTATGGCAATTTTAATTTTCAAAGCTACTTTAATTTCATTTCTATCCTTCCTGAAATATAATTTACAAGGCATTTATTGATTGAACTAAAAAATATTGTCATCCAAATATGGAGTGGTTCAAGCTTGTGTCTAACCTATTAGACTAGTTTGTTAAAAATCAATAACGTGTAGACTACTCTTTTCATTATCAGCCAATAGAAATAAGAGTTGACACGATTTTATTGATTAGTCAATCTATTCGCAAGTGACCTTGAGTGGACAGATAGCGGGAATAATTTTTCAAAATAATTATGACATTTTTTAAAATTATCATTTTTCATTCTTATTTTTTGTAAAGGAAAACTCATCGAAAAAGGGTGGCGAAAAACTTTTTTTTGTACAAATTATTTCATTCATAAGTCTTGTCTTGGTAACATTATATAAATTATCAAAACTTTGTGACTGTGTAGTTTATATGCACATATGTATAGAAAAATATATTGAATATTGAAGGTTCTGAGGAATTAACCATCACAGAATATAGTAAAGCTTTGAAAAACAAAGAATCAAGTAGGTTCATATAAAGTTAGATTAAACCATCATTATGTATTGATTCACTTCGAAAGTTCTGTGTACATAAGTATGTATTAAGGTTACTAGTAGTATTTGTAGTAAAGAGCTTGTTTTATCCTTTCGAAGGTGGCTGGATTCTGTAAGATGACAGATAAGAGAAATGGAAGGAGATGAAATGAATTTGTATAATGAATGAAACATATTCAACAATTTATCTCCATAGAAAAAAACTATTTAAACTTGATCTTTCTAGGACTCAGATCGTTGTCGAAGGCTGCAGAGCTAGGAGAAATTGAAGATGATGTAGTATCGTTAGTTGAGAGATGTGAAGGAAATTTAGAAGGTAATGATGGGAGAGGTAGATAGCAGTCTGAGGAAACTTGAGTACTGATCGACTTGTGAGGGCAGTTAACACTTCCCAACTGCCCACACCATGGAAGGCTATTTCTTCTTAAGGCGCCTGAAAGAGATTTGTGTGACTGCAGAGCTCATCAGACATCTGCTTGAGGCCTGTCACACGAAGCCTTTTGAGTATGATTATTTTGAACTTTTGTGTTCTTCGGGCCGGATGGTGGAAAGGAAACGACAAGTGAACCAACACCGCTGGCCCGGCAGAACGTGGGGTATGATGGAGTGTGTTATTTTTGGGGATGACCTTTTCTAATCCCCACCCTTCCAATGAGAAGGCAGCATCAGCATGGCACTGCTGGTCATCTAAGGGAAACACCTTACTGCTGTCACACCCCATCCAGCTAGCAGCAGTACGACTTCACCCTCAACTCGCATCATAGTGTAGCAATTTACACTACAACGGTAGCTGCTTTTCGTCTAACCACTATCCAACAGACCTTTCCGGTATGGTAGGACCTCGAGGGAACAAGCGTGCCATCAGCATAGCTCGTTGGGTTATTGTGATATGCAAGTCCGACCACTAGGTCAAGGTAGCAGCTATTGGTTGGGGCTCTTTCTAGGAGAGTCATTAGAAGCATAACCCCACTCAGTGATGCTCTTAGAATCCTTTGTGTTTTCGGTAAAACCAAATGTGTGCAGTATGCTGATCAATTTCAGATCGGTGTATACACGTGAATATGAATTCGATTTCATATTTTCATGATCCATGCGTCGAAAAGGGTGTCTAACGACTGAATAATACCAGGGTAAATTCTTCATGGACGATGATATGCACTGAATGTTCTCCGCACTTCAAAGTATCACTTGGTCATAAATCATACGAATGGTAGGCAGTGTGTAAATCCACTGACTAACTATTTATTCTTGAAAACGCCTTTCAACGGAGGGAAAGGTAGATAGCCTCATTGAAGTCTTCCATAGTTGTTGTCTCCAACTGATATTTTAGACTCATGAAGATTCACTTAAGCTCATATAACAACGCTGAAGAAAACTAAGGGTAACAGTATTCGATATACAGTTCACTAGTCATATAAAGGCTAATGAAAACTCATTACTAAGAGGAATCGGGTAGCTTGATCATAATTTAGCTGATGAAACTTTCGGGATAATCATGACTTCGTAACTCCACCTTCAGGGATAACATTTGGTAGCTCTCGCTGAAATCCAGGACTTTTCAGCTGCATATACCCCATCGACTGGGGCTCGAACCCGGTACCAACCGCTTTAAACGCTAAAGTTTTATTCACTAGGCTACTGGGGAATAAGAGTCACTGCTTTACAAGTTCCAAATAAACAGCTTTGACAACTTGTGTCACTAAGTTAATTAGTGGGCAACGGCAGACAACATAAAGCTACTATCAGCCATAATTTTACACGGCTGCATTTTATCTTTACTACTCTTAGTTTACATGCTGAAACAAAGTGGTAGGGGTGAAAATCAGTTACTAACTCACTTAAAAAACGCTAATGGTAAAACAGTTTTATGGATTTTTCTGAAAAATGAATAGGCTTAAAGGACAACCTAGAAACCACTGAAATAACCAGTCAGATCTCTCGATTTCAGTGAGTTAGATTTTTTGCGAGGTGAACAAACCTGATTGGTTATTTTTACTCGTTGCCTGTGTAGCTTTCGGAGTGATTCCTGAAAAACATCATTATAAGCAGATAAAAAGGTGGAGGTATCGATCAAAAAGTATTCACCAACCACCACCACAATCCATTTAGTAGAATAACATCCCAGTGCCTATACGTCTATTTATTGCTGACTGACCTGAATGCCAGACTTGTAAAAATTCTCTGATATTTGCTATGTTTCCTCTCTCCGTCCAAAATTTCTACATTGTCAACATTGAATTCATGTCCATAGTTGTTATCCAGGTGCATTGAAATGAGTGATAAAATGTCGTGACATTTGAAAGCCAATTGGTGTTCATGTAGAAGGTGAAGAGGGCAACCACTTTGTCCAAGGTAGTTTTGACTACAGTTATTGCAGTTGATTTGTAAATGATATTCTATTTGTTTTCTTTGGTTGTTGCATCCTTTGGTCTGCATAACAAAACATCCCAGTGCACTGTATAGCGGATTTCCTGAAGTTATGATGAGATTTGAGGAAGGATTATTATTATTACTATTTATCCCTTGGGTTCCTAGTGGAAAATAGGGCTTCAGTAGTACGTCGCCACTTCACTCTGTTCTCTGCAGTCTTTCCAACCAGGGTCTTCCACTTCCAAGAAGCTTATTTCATTTCTTTCTCACATCATTTCCTCCATGTCATCCTCGGATGTTCGAATAGTCGTTTTCAATTCGGGTTCCACTCGAGGTCCTGACCTGACACGTGATATTCCCGAATGGTCATCTCAATGTATGCCCAATCCATCTCCACTTTCTTCTACTCCACATTTGTTGGGGGAATAGGTTCGTAGCTGGTTCGCTGCCAGCCAGCCAGATTTTCTTGTTCCTTCTTGCCTATTCTCATTATTCTAGCTATCTGATCTTCACTGTCAGTATCGAGTGAGTGTGGGTGGCCGCTGTCGATGAATGTCTGCAGTTCGTTGGAAATGCTTTTCGTAACGAGTCAAGTCTCTCAACCAACACACAGAAGCACTGATTTGACTGACATTGGTGTTGAAAATCTGGATGTTGTTCACACACTATGCTGAGTGCAGTGTAGTGCAGTGCAGCGCAGTGCATTGGAGTGCAGTAGATCTGTACACTGATTTCAGATTAGTGAATGTCCGTCTTGCTGTCTTTCCGATGCTGGCTTTCACATCGTTATCTGTGCCTGTGCCACCTGTATTTGAAACGATGCTGCTTATCCGTGTAGGTGAAAGAGACAACCTTCATCAATAATACCGGATCAGGGTTGTGTTATATTGCCATTTGATAGTAAGATGTCTACTACTTATACTGACGCATGTTAGTAGTACATAGAATGATCTGTTTGAGAAAGCCAATAGAGTTATCATCCAGTCTGTGGGAGTTTTGAAGGAAGAAGCAAAAAACATGGGAATTAAGTTCAGAAGGTGAATGAAGCAACTTACTTTGGGGGTCTAATATATCTTCGTTGTAGAATGCAGACAGTCTTCGCATGGCTTGCGTTCAACGTACAGCTTTCAAATTCTACCAAAACTCATTGGGTTTCAATCGAATGAAAGTAAGTTATGCTCTTCCTGATCTCACTGCCACACGAGATCATTAGTGAGTAGTACTAGGAAAGAGTTGCAAACTAAGATGAAGAAAATATCCAGTTCTCTCTGGCTCTCAATAGGTTTCTGTATGACGTAACCTAATGATGAAATCTGACTTCATATGGATTGACCACTTGTGAGCAGCCAACTTCATGTTGTCTCATCCTAAGTGGCCATCGAATCCCATCGATCATTTTGCCTGGCGGCCACCAGGCTCGAGGACTCATCATTGTGATACGCTGCAAGAGATATTGGTCTGATGGGGACAATTCAGAGGAAGCCCTACTGTACCTAGTTTACATGCTTTTTAGTGCTTATCAGCAAGGAGTATCTACAACCTCGCAGGGACTGATGTTGTGTGTGAGATTTGAACTCGCGCCACCCAATGTTCCACTCAGAGACGTTACCAGCGAACTATTCAGGACGCTGTTAACCTCCTGTAAGACCGGATTGCGTACATCAGACACTTGCGGCGATACTGAAAAACGATCAGAAGTTCAGCCATAGCTTGAATAGCTTATTGACAACATTTATGACAGTAGAATTGTGTGATGCAGGTTCAAATCTTACCGAGGAGATCATTTTCCTCGAGGTAAGAGATACGCCTTGATGACGAGTGCAAGGCAGTATTCATTGCAAACTGACGTGAGTTGGGGAACCAGCTGACACCTGGGAACACTGAACAGCTTTTTCATCCCAGTAAAGGACGCCTCAGGATCCTGCTGGATGTCGAACCTAGGACCTTTAGGTCTTGTAACAGACACATTACCATTCAGTCAGTTGGTCGGAATCCAATGGTGCATATTTTTTTATATTTGTCAGTTTGTCATGTAGCGCGGTCATCATCCAATGCCGCTGGTGAGTATTTATCGTTACACCTGGCTTGTTTGACCACACAGACACCTCATACTACGAAACTTCATTTTTCCCAGCAAGTTTCAATTTCTAATGGAGGCTTGAATGTCGTGGGTCCGATCTCTGGGACGGTCGAGGGTGAGGATCGCTGATGAGTTCCATGCAGAGACGTAATAGGAGTCTAGTGCTCTCAGGTTTTCAGTGGTTTGAAGATAAACTGATATCAAATGATGAAACACTGAAAATTGAAGAGTACTAGTCACTTGTTCTACTACGGATCGGTACTGTCCGTAATACCCGTAATACAGAAGCTTAGGACTCAGAGCCATACCGTCGGTAATCTACTGCTAATACACCGAGGAGAAAGTTAGTGGAAACATTTGGAAAAATCACGCGTTGTTTATCTTTACTGCTTCATACTGCATGGGTTGATGTCTTCGGTTTCTCAGAGTTATCAGTTGGTCAAACTAGCTGCTTTGAGGTGCTATTATTAATTTTGCTGGCTATCTGAAATCGGTCAGTTTTGGACCATAGCTGGTATGTTCAACCCTCAATAAACGAAAGAATCATTCAGTGTTTCAAACACTAAGACTTGACTAGCATAGTCACTTATAATTACAACGGAAAACTGATTCAGTCTGTATAACTTTGAAAACTGTTTTATAAAATTTTATTAGTAGTGTAAAAGTTGCACAATGATACAAAACGTGACTTCGAAAGGCACCTTAGTTAATTGCAGATATACATATCCAACTTTTGAGAAAGTTTGATTATCCAGGTAAATATCGTCAGTTGGTCGGTCGTTTCATTTCAGTGCTATACAGTCATCATCATCAAGACTAACATAGGACCAAGCAGTACTGAGCAACAGTCCAAGTTGCCACATCTCATATCACCATATCAAGTGACAAGACAGTGAGATGAAAGATGAAGAAGGAAAGAAAAATCGACCAAAGGCAGTGGACTTAGAAAGTAGTTAAAGGAAGGAAGAAAGAACGACAAGATGACGAAATTCTTATGATGAGGAAAATGTGTGTATACATCTGCTCCACTGACATCGGTTCTGAGCCATATCAGTTAGAGTCTGCAACCACTGGTTTCTCTTGTCCCATGGACATCAACCGGCTAGTCTGCATTACCCTACATGGCTCAAACCAACAATCAAGGACTCCATGGATTGGTGGCATGTTTTAGTTTGGCAGACCCGTGCCTAATCCTACTTCGGTCAACATTGTGCTACGAGGTAGACGGTGGTTAAGCATACGTAACACATGTCCCAGCCGTCTTAGTCGACGTAGGTTCACAACTGTCGTACCTATCCTCGCTGAAACTCTGCGCTGACTTCAGCGTTACTCACGCAGTGACACCACTAAACACGGCCTATGTAACGAAGGCAACGGTGGTTAAACACCTGAAGTCTTCTAATATCTTCCACTTTTAATGGCCATGTTTCACAACCATACAGTAGAACAGAGCGGAGTGTAGCACCGACCCTCAATAGACAGTCGGACATTACGACAGCGCCACAGATGGCGTAAGTTAGTAGAAGCTAACCGACCTTTTTGTGTCGGTGAGGAGAATTCGTCGGCCACTGACTAACGCACCAAAGCTGGTCCAACCTCCGAGGTAAGTAAAGTCTTCAGTCCGCTCAACCACGACACTTTTTACTCTTAGTCGAAGACCAGATCTAGAGCAGCAATTTGCACTTGGGAGGCGAGAAACGCATCCTAAATATTCTCAAATAACCACTCAGTGTTCAGAAGACTCTGGATCTTGTTGATGTCTTCGCTTAACAGGACTATGTCACCTGCGTATTCTAGGTACATCAAAAATTCTCCTGTGATCAGGTCAATCCCTGTGTAGTCAAATGAAGAGTGGGAGACTTCCACAAGAACACCTATGATAAAATTTAATAGGAATGGAGAGAGTCATCATACAACAGATATGGCTCATTGTCTGATGTAAATACTCATGTGGTTGTTAAGCGTATTTCTTTCGAGATCTTTTCATCATCCCAGAAATGCACTCTGCTCTTGAACACTGACGTTTTTATATCAGTACAGACTTACATGATATACAGGTCTATTAATGAATTATAGGTGAATTTACAAACTTATAGAGTACAAATCGAAAAGATTACCTGAGAGTAGAAATTTATAAGCTGCTAAAAATCCATGTCGAACAATCATACTGTTTGAAAAGAATTTGATAATTAAACATGATTTTCTCCAATTTACATGGATTGTTTTATTATTATCATTGTTATCATGTTCAATATTTTGACAATAATACTTTTTGCCTAAATCTAATATTGATGATAAAGTTGAACAACTACGCAATTCAACGTAATCACTATCCCCATCTGTTGAACATCTACAATTTAATTCAGAGAAATATAAATTTATATTATAAACAATTTGTTTACTGATGTATAACTAATAATTCAAATAGTGCGCTGGAAAAATTTAATAGTTTAGTAAAACAATTGAATGAACTAAGCTAGATCTTTAAAGTGTGAATGTAATTATTTCAAGATAGCGGGAAGAGAAAAACTTTAGAGTTAGAAATTACGGTGAACAATATACAGACACAAGATTTCTTCGCATTTTTAACTTTTTTTTATCAATTGTATTTTGATTCTATAGCTATGACTTATTCTTCGATGAGTTAAGCGACACCAAACTAACAGAAACATCCTATAAGCTACTTCTATAGTAGTCAATATCAGCAGACATCTAAACACTGTCTATGGATTTAGCTTAGTGTTAAGAATTTAGTTCATGCAACAAAGAAGTTATTACCAAAGTCTCTAATAAATTATTCAGTTAACTTTACCTATACTTATCGAATTATGATATACAGAAGTTATAAGTTGATCTGTTGAAGGAAACACTTCTTTTGTTTGTAGACAGGAATGGAGCAGTTTTTATTCAGGAAATGTATTACAGTGTATTTTTTGCACTCACTCACTCACTCACTCACTCACTCACTCACTCACTCACTCACTCACTCACTCACTCACTCACTCACTCACTCACTCACTCACTCACTCACTCACTCACACTTACTCACTCACTCACTCACTCATTCACTCGTTCATTCACTCGATCTAGTGTCAAATATTCAGAACCAGTTGATAATTTGACAAAAGGATTATTTACAAGCTGAGTAAAAATATATTTGGGATTTAACTTCAAATATATCCAACCCCTGCATATGACTACAGTTACCTATGCGTATATCACTTCTAACAGAAAAAAACTGATAATAGCAACTTCTGGACACCTAGAGTTCACTGACCAAGAGTTTTCAGCATTGTTACTTTTGCCTTAAAGAAGACCTTGTAAATTTTTAAGGGTTTCAGCCGGGTATGGTCGTTCGTTTCCAGCAGAATGAAACTGGATCATTATTACTGTTTACCAGTCTTGAGATTATCAGAATTGATGACTCGGTATTATGTGACTACGTAATGCCATCTTAGTTTGCTTGATGGTGGCTAGCAGGAGAATTCAGGATGTGCGTTTCCTCGTATTAGGGACTCATCAGCTGGTCAATTAATTTGATCCAAAATAACAACAGAAAATTACAAGTTTCAAGAAATAATAATAACCGATGTCCATCGAATGAGAGATAGCCTTCTTGCACATAGTGGTCCAATGGATAATGCATTGGTGCGAATTTCGAGTCTCAGTGGTAACAACATGGGATGTAGGTTCATCCAGTTGACGAACACTCACAGTGGGCTAATTGATCACTAATGACCTTGATAAGCACTTTTAGATATCTGTAGTGTTTACTTTTAAAGTTGAAACATTAGGAATAACGATCAAAATGATACAGTTACCGATAACCAGAAGATTTTCAACAAACCAGATAGAATAGAGTTAATCGGTTAAGAAGTTCGAATAGCGAACAAAGCAACACAAAACTCTAGTGTATGAGTAAATAAATATTATTTGAAGTAGATTAACATGCTACTGCATAATCTAATCTTTATCTAAGAATCTGCTTTGATAAGATTTAGGCTTTATCCACCTTGATGTACCTGAATTAGTCTAAGAAGACACTCAAATGAATATTCTATATCGTCATATTACATCACATACCTTACAGAGTTACTTTCCACATCAAATTCTTGAAATTCTAAATCAATTATTTCATATGAATTGCCAATCAGTTGATATTCACAGATAATATCAATTGGATAAAGTCCAGGATAGTTTGGTGAAGTAAAAATACCCGACTTGGCAACAGAGCTATAGAAGCTGAAATTACAGTCTGATTGACATTGTTTATGTTCAAATGACGGAAGACAATAAAAACAAAAGAGACAGAATTTAGTAGAATAAAATAAGACAGAAATCAAAGGTGAAATTGTAGTATTTCACTGATGCAATATAAACATATAATAAAAGTTAGACAATTATTACTTGCTAAGATATTCGAAGTAAAAAAAAAGTAATTCAATGAAAAAACTTATCTTTTTGACTGGTCATTTTCAGAAGCTGTACAGTCGTTTTTATAGTAAGCCAACTTGGAATGAACAGTACACTCATTTCTAAAGTTGGGTATTATTAAGTCGAAAAAGGAGCCTTAGATGCCACTTTGGGCTAGTTTACCTATGGAGCTGGTTATTTAGGCTGCATAAAGTGAGATCATGCTAAACTTATCTCCAAGCACTATCCTGTTTAGTCATCCAAAGGAGAAAGGAAATCAAGCAACAGCCCCATATTGAACCATTTAGTCAGCTCTAGTGATGATAACTGACCATAATCTTACAAATCTTACACAAAGTCAACAGAGACGGCTCAAATGAAGTAGAGATTCGTCACCTAAGTAAAGTAAAGACGTTGCTAACCCAACAGTTAAGACCTGAGCTCTACATACAGAAGAGGTTATATTATCACTGAAAACCTGGCAGCGCTGAACAGCTGTTTCGTTCTGGTATGGGACCACTCAGCAGTACGCACTCACGACCCTGAGGGGCTCTGAACTCAGAATCTTCAGGTACCAAGGTGAACATGTTAACCACTGAGTTGATCATTAGTGACGTACTTCGAGATGGATATCCTGAAGTTCTAATGTAAAAGCCGTGGCTTGTGGGGTCAACCAATCGGAAGTGATGTGGATGCCAAATGAAGTCCTTGGATGTTAGTCACGTTATATCACGAATTGACGGAGGACGGAAACTGCGGACCATTGAAATCCGACCCAGTGGGTGGATGGTTAACTTCGCCATGAAACCTGGTGGTTCTGAGTTTGAGCAATGGATAATTCGTGGGTGCATACTGCCGAGAAGTCCTAAGCTAAGGCGAAACAGCTGTCCAGCCCCCTTGGCTTTCCAATACTTCTTTACCTGATATCAGCCCGTGTTGATTACTGAAGTAACAATTAGTAGTATCTTCCATCCATTAGTCATCACCTTGGTCGACTGCATATTTTCCTTATGCACACCAAGATTACGCAATTCCTTTATAGCTTTATAACTGACTCACCCTAGAACATTCTGTTACATGGACGACCTGATGATGACTTACTAGCCAATGACAGACTCATCATTTTGCTTGTTATTACCATAAATACGCCGATTGGAAGAAGAGCTACTTTGTCAAACTCCCAAAGAGGGAGACCTAAGTCTTTGCAAGAACTGGCGAGGAATCATGCTCAACCCCTTTACACCCGAAGCAAGCAAAGTATTAAGCCGCATTGTCCTGGAGAGACTAAACAATACTCTGATTCAAAATTATGACCGAACTGGCCAGGTTCAGGAAATACAAATCATGTGCGGATCGAATTGCAACACTACGCCAAACTACGCATCATCATAGAACAGAGCATAGAATATAAGTCAACTCTTCACCTCAACTTCACTGATTTTGCAAACGCCTTCGACAACGTTGACCTAGAAGTAGTTTGGCAACTGCTTTAACGCTACGGTTTAGCGCCAAGAACTTATATCAACCTCATTCAACAGCAGCTATATGATGCTTGTTACATGCCAAGTAGTTGACAATGGAAAGCTCAGTGGTGCCTTTGAAATGAAGACAGGGAGAGGAGTAAGACAGGGTTGCCGCCTACCATTACCGATGATTTTTCTGACTGTGATGAACTCGACTGGATCATGCAACAAACTGTGACGAGTGAGAAGAATGGGCATATACTGGTTGCACCGACGAAAAGATCCTAGAAGATTTGGATTTCGCTGCTGCTGATGATTTATGTCTAATGTTTTGTCGTACAAACTCGAAGATCTACAGACGAAAACTAACAAGTTGGCAGAAGAGGCGAGGTAGCGAAGACGGAGCCTCCTACAGGTAATCGTAGAGAAGACGGAGGTGATAAAGATATCTAACCACCAACATTAACCGCATGCACGAATCACCAAGAACGGGAGACATCGAAAGGAAGTTGTCTCTTACACCTACCTAGGAAGTATCGTTGCAACTACAGGTGGCACGGGCACAGTTGAGGATGTGAAAACCAGCGTCGGAAAAACAGCAAGACAGATAGAGAGAACTGGATATTTTCTTCATCTTAGTTTGCAACTCTTTCCTAGTACTCACTAATGATCTCGTGTGGGAATGAGATCAGGAAGAACATAACTTACTTTCATTCGATTGAAACCCAGTGAGTTTTGGTAGAATATCAAAGCTGTACGTTGAACGCAAGCATGCGAAGACTGTCTGCATTCTACAACGAAGATATATTAGACCCCCAAAGTATGTTGCTTCATTCACCTTCTGAACTTAATTCCCATGTTTTTTGCTTCTTCCTTCAAAACTCCCACAGACTGGATGATAACTCTATTGGCTTTCTCAAACAGATCATTCTATGTACTACTAACATGCGTCAGTATAAGTAGTAGACATCTTACTATCAAATGGCAATATAACACAACCCTGATCCAGTATTATTGATGAAGGTTGTCTCTTTCACCTACACGGATAAGCAGCATCGTTTCAAATACAGGTGGCACAGGCACAGATAACGATGTGAAAGCCAGCATCGGAAAGACATCAAGACGGACATTCACTAATCTGAAATCAATGTACAGATCTACTGCCACTCAGCATAATGTGTGAACAACATTCAGATTTTCAACACATGTCAGTCAAATCAGTGCTTCTATGTGTTGGTTGAGAGACTTGACTCGTTACGAAAAGCATTTCAACGAACTGCAGACATTCATCGACAGCTGCCACCCACACTCACTCGATACTGACAGTGAAGATCAGATGGCTAGAATAATGAGAATAGGCAAGAAGGAATAAGGAAATCTAGCTGGCTGACTGGCAGCGGAACGAGCTAAGAACGTGTTGCCCCAAAAATATGGAGTAGGAGGAAGTGGAGATGGATTGGGCATACATTGAGATGACCATGTGTCAGGTCAGGACTCTGAGTGGAACCCAAATCGGAAACGACTGTTCGAACTTCCGAGGATGACATGGAGGAAATGAAAGCTTCTTGGCATTGGTGGAGCCAGTTTGGGAAGACTGGAGAAGAGAGTGAAATAGTGTGCTATTGAAGCCCTTTCCATCAGGAACCCAAGGGATGAATAATTATAATAATAATACTATAAATACTATTGTCATTTGTTGAAAATTTCATTAAGAGGAGAGTTTTTTCATTCAAAAAACATAAATTCGGAAGTTATTCGATTGTCCGTTCCAACTGAGTTCTTGTAGATGGATCTTTGAATGGAATTATCGTTGTCCTTGAAGACCGACGTTCCATCAGTCCATAGTGAATTTCACCCTTGATATTCTGATACGTTGATCACTGATCACTACAGTAAAAACAGCCAAATACATAGGTGAATCCTGTTGACTTGATCGTGAAGTGTATACTACTCATTACCAGACTTCGGTGAATCAAACAGTTTGAATTTTTAGCTATAACTTTCTTTCAATCTCTTTAATTTTCTCTTTATCTTTAGACTGCCGTTGTTATCTGTTCGATAGTCGAATTCATCGTAATGGAACGTTTAAATCACCGAATTATAATATGATGTATGAAACAGGAGAACAGTGTGAATGTATAGTGTACACATTCAAAGCTCAACCAGATGAGATTGTGCATATTGCATTTACAAGTTTTCGTTTATCACGTGATCTTTATCCCACACTTCAATCTGCTAAATTCAAATATCATCTAGATTATAACCAATTGGAAAAAGTAGAGTAAGTTCTACTTTTACTCCTATTTAAACTTTATTGCATTCTGCTGTAAAAGTATTTATGGAGTTGCGGCTGATTAGTCCAAGGTGATGACTTGTAGCCGATGGATCATGAACCAGAAAACCCCCTCCTACTTACAAACGTTTGAGCAGTCAGTTTCTTTTATAAGTTAGAGTCAACTGGCAGAAAATCCTGAGTGAATAAAATTTTGTGCTTGTCAGCACTTGTCAGCAAGGCGTGTTTGCAACCTCGATGGAAGTAATATCCCCTGCAAGGTTCGAACTTGTGTCACCTAGTGTTCCATTCAGGGTAGTTATCATTCAACCATTCCAGCTACAACTTAATATCTATCAGATTTGATGGGATACTTTAACTAGTAACTGGAAGCCAACCAGTTTCATGTTATCTAATCCTGAGTGCTGACAGAAGTCTATCGATCATATTGTAATGTGGCAACTGTACTAAAAGGCTCACCATCTCAGTGAATTTCAATGAAAGTTAGTTGGTTGGAGATGACCCATAGGAAGCCTTGTATCCGAACCGTAAAAGACATAGGTGTGGCTCAAGGTCTACTGCACAGCTGTGCACAACTTTGTAAAGTGGACTTCCGTTCGATTCGGAAAAGTATCTAGGCAATGAGTAGTCTGTTTTATTCTTTTTTAATAGTTATACACTTTTGGTTTGATATGATGGAAAAGATTTGAAGCTCAGGATGAGGATGACAGTGGTTTGGTGTTCTTCGAGTCTTACTATTTTGTCGTCACCAGGCTTGGTGACATCCTCAGTACTCGCTTCATCGAGAAGTGAAGCATATTCGAGTGTCACACCGATGATTAGGTAGTGTTTTTGCTGACCTTAAGTGTTGTCCAGACGTATGTTGTGGAAGAATGTTTTCTCATACATCGACCAGTTTGGCCTGAAGTGTCACTGTGTCACACTGGTAGAGGATCTTTTTGTTAGATTGAGGTTATTCCATTTGTCACTAACACCCTGTGCAACATTATTGTTTTGCTTGGTTAATTTTACCCTGGATTGATGAAAGGCTGTATTTCTTCTTGAGTAGCTTGTGGATTGTATCTATATACAAGTGTGTTGATTATCCAAGATAGCTGAATTAACGAATTCACTTGGTCGTTGAGCGAAACACTTGGTGGTTGAAGTCAGATAAAAATCTGGTCAGTAGCCGGACCTCGTAACTCATTTGGTAGAGCACTGGGTCAGAAACCCAGTGGATTACGGTTCGAGTCCTTCTGCGGCCCAAATCTTCAGTTCACCTTCAATCGCTGAGCAGTAATAATACAAACCACTGGTATATAGCCAATCTGAAAATAAGTGGATGTCGAACAAACAGGAGTCAGTGGGTGGGTTAGAGGTTTACACTACAACTACAACTTGTTGGGATGTAAAGATTGGAACAATAGCAAATGGGCAAGTATCCTATCCTTAAAGAGTACCCTTGTATGGCTTAGGTTCATTTACTTACGGACCTTGCATTAACTGGTCACCGTTGAGTGACCGATTTCATGTTGCCTACTCCTATGTCATGACTGAATCTTATCCATCACTTGGCAATGTAACCACTAAGCTAAAAGACTCACCATCATAGTGCATTTGGACAGATGTCAGTTGATTGGAAGTAATAAGCAAGAAGTCCATCATAATTAAGTTTCCTTACTGGTTGCCAGTAAGGCGTGACCAATCAGTGGATTTGATCTAGTCCTGCAGTAGGTCAATCGCCATTCAAATAGCTCAGTGCTAACGTCTCTTACTACAACACTGAGTGAAGTAGTTTCGAGTCTCAGGCAGATATCTGTTTCGTGTAGGTTACAGATACGCCTTAATGACGAATCACGAAGCATTACTCAAGCGGTATAAATACAATTTATAAAAAAATATACCGTGAACAATAGTTTCCATCAGTCTCAATAGTTATTATGTCAGAATATGACTATAGAAGTTTATGGGGAGAAAAAAATATCAATGAATACATGTTCACTTCCAAAGAATAATACTCACCGTAACAGACTACACTGTTGATGCTACCCCGTCAATCCTCAGTACCACTGTGTTAATATCAATGACTGTGGCGCTATATGATATGGATTCGACCCTAAAAGTCAGCATTATTTTCCTGATGTAGCGGTACCATCTAGCTAATGTTAGCTGTCGAACACTTAATATACATCTAGAAGTCCTATAGAGCTGACAATTCCCCCTCCCACTTATCGCTGTCACCAAACACGCAACTCACATATTTGATTCTTGTAACTTCCCGTTGCTATATTGGGTCGAACAGCTAGACGTTTGTCTGCAGATGGTCTCCTATGAAGAGGTGTAGATACTATCTGAGTATTCATTATGTCCTAGTCTACTTAGTGGCTAGCAGTGGCTTGAGTCGCCATGGAAACAATATCACCCACTGGGGTATAGGTACTTTCAGATGACGAGTGCTAAATGAGACGGATGAAACGTGTGTCCTGCATTCCACTTCTATCCATCAACTAGACTACAATCAACTCAAATGTCTTATGATAAATTGGTTGGTTGTAGCTAGCAGAAGAATCCAGGACGCGCGTTTCGTCCTATTTGAGACCCGTCAGCCGAATGTACCTGCACCCCAGTGATGTTGTTCCCACCGGACTTGAACCTCGTATCCATCGCTTCAAACGCCAAGGTGTCATCCACTGTGTCACATAGGAACGATAGCCACTTCTGCTAGCCACAACCAATCAATTTATCATAATTAACATTCAGGTAATATCGAGGTATCCGTATAGGAGCCCATATGCCAATAGAGGTCGAACAATTCGATCTAACAAAACAATGGAGAATAACAAGTATGTCAATAAATAGTAATAATCGGATGTCTTAGTTTTAATAAGCATTTTATTTACCAATGAATATTACAACTCCACTGGTATTTTAGTTAAAATTTAAACAACAAGTAGGTGTAAAATAGTTGAACAACTTTGTTTTCTTCATTCCTCAATTTTCTCTTTTGTTTAACCGATCAATTCAATTCTTCTCTTTTTTTTCATGAATACCCTAGCTACAATCATGTCCAAAACTAGTGTACTAGTTAATTAATCAAGACAAGAACAAAGATTTTTTTTGAAAAAAACATGCGAAAACTGTTACAGAGTTAAAAATAATAAAAAAAATAACCATCGGATAGAGTAGATGAGAGTTGAAGAAAACATTTCTAGGCTGAGTAACTTATTGCATTCCGTTTTTTAATTCTGAACATTCGAAAAAGGCGGTAAAAAAAAGTCAAAGTTGAATTGAGTCACGTTTTCAAACAATCACTTATCTTTAAGTTAGTGTTCATAACGGAATGACATCAGTTAGAAGGCTACTGAAAACCTTGAGAGTACTGGATAGCTATTTCATCCTAGCATGGGACTTCTCTGCAGTATGTATTCACAACCCTACCACGCCAAGGATATAACTTAGGACCTTCAGATTGCATTCATTCAGTCAGTGGGTTGCAGTTGAATGATCCACGACTATCTTTATTTGGCATCCTCTTCACTTCCAAATGGTCGACGCTACAGCTAATTGTTCCTAATCAGAACTTCAGGATATCAATCCATAAGCATATCACTAATGAACAATAAACATTCACCTTAAAATGCATTACTGTATACTGATCACTACTGACATGCTTCGATATGGATATCCTTAAGATGTAATGAGAAGTTGTGACCTATAGAGTCAACCAATCAGAAGGAGAGCGGATGACAACTGAAGACCTTGGATAACAGTCACGCTGTATCATGAATTTACAAAACTAGGAAATTCTAAACCACTGAACTGCAACCTAGCAACTGAATGGTTAAGGCTTTTGCCCTGAAACCTGAAGGCTCTGAGTTCGATCTCTGGCGGGGTAGTGAACCCATACTGCTGAGGAGTGACATACTACGACGACAGAGATGTACCATTCTCCCAGGTTTTTATTGGTTCTCCAACTGATATCAATGCACAGTGGATACTACCTTAAAAATAAGAATAAAACCCTTAATAACCTCAAAACCAATTATCTAATAATCTATTCTTATAGTTTGAGTCATACGTTTTTAACAGAGCCCGATATAATCAAGCAACAAACTTCTTTACATCAAGACTCTCTACTTGTTGGTACTTACCAGTAGAACGCTATCTACGCCATGAATTACAGTCGTACAGTATGCGAAATTCGGATCCAAGTATTTTATCCCCAATAAGAGTACTTCTCCGAAGTAATTAGGACATCTGTCATATAAATACTCAACTGGAATAATGCCAAACATCAGAAGAAGACACTGTTCTCGAAGTCTTGACTGCCTTCAAAGCAATATCCATTTAGACTGAAGCATTCATCCATTTTCAAGTCGTAATTCGAAAATAATAACTGCCAAACATTCGCAGTCGTGTGTCCAAATCACATTGACTCGCAGTACCCAGACAAAAACGTCCAGTAAGGAGAAGACACTGACGAAATGCATAATGTCCTACAATCCATGAATCATAATTTCATAACATTAGAAAACTAGGAGCCAATGTTGGCCATTAAGTCGACGAATTATAACAAATAACAGTAAAAAAAATCCGTCAGAATCAAAAAAAATTTACGTGGAATCCGGTAAAAGGTCTAAGGTTTTAGACTGCGGAGTATGCGCAACACATATATTCTGAGTGAAGGCACTCAAAAATATTAGGTGGCAACTGTGGCACGACAGCCACCCATAGCGCACAGGCAATCAATCATTACACGACAATATATGACAGCCAAAGTGTGCGGCGAACCACAAGTACTAGGCGCCAGCGAATCGGCGCATAAAAAGAAAAGAGCCACACAAATAGTTTAAAGCAAAAAATTCGTACAATGCACCATTCAATGAATAGATATCAATCAAAATGCAATCGTCATATTCAAACCAAAGTAAGTCATTCAGAAATGAATGAAGTGATCAAGCAATTATAAGTAAATAAAGACACCAACCTCCTATAAAATAATGTTAACA